ATGAATGACAATGTCAGACCACGGAGGAAAAATGAAACAGGAATTTCCTTAAGTACTTTCGTATATTAATACATCTTCAGAAGGAGTGACTCCTTCTGAAGATGTATTAATATACGAAAGTACTTAAGGAAATTCCTGTTTCATTTTTCCTCCGTGGTCTGACATTGTCACATTTTTAATCACGTGTTTACTTTCGTGATATACACACACACATATATATATATATATATATATATATATATATATATATATATATATATATATATATATATATAGTGATGTTATCTGTTGTTGGTGATAGTGAGAGCTAGATAAACGACTGACTTACGTAACAGCTGGGAGAACTGGCAAGTCTGACACATTTAACAAAATTGACTATTCATGGTTGGAATGGTCGTACATAGCAACGGTGTTGTGGTGTATGCCGGTGTTGTGGTGTATGCCGGTGTTGTGTTGTATGCCGGTGTTGTGTTGTATGCCAGTGTTGTGTTGTATGCCAGTGTTGTGTTGTATGCCGGTGTTGTGGTGTATGCCGGTGTTGTGGTGTATGCCTGTGTTGTGGTGTATGCCGGTGTTGTGGTGTATGCCGGTGTTGTGGTGTATGCCGGTGTTGTGGTGTATGCCAGTGTTGTGTTGTATGCCGGTGTTGTGGTGTATGCCGGTGTTGTGGTGTATGCCGGTGTTGTGGTGTATGCCGGTGTTGGTGTTGTGTTGTATGCCGGTGTTGTGTTGTATGCCAGTGTTGTGGTGTATGCCGGTGTTGTGGTGTATGCCGGTGTTGTGGTGTATGCCAGTGTTGTGGTGTATGCCGGTGTTGTGGTGTATGCCGGTGTTGTGGTGTATGCCGGTGTTGTGGTGTATGCCGGTGTTGTGTTGTATGCCGGTGTTGTGGTGTATGCCGGTGTTGTGTTGTATGCCGGTGTTGTGGTGTATGCCAGTGTTGTGGTGTATGCCGGTGTTGTGGTGTATGCCAGTGTTGTGGTGTATGCCGGTGTTGTGTTGTATGCCGGTGTTGTGGTGTATGCCAGTGTTGTGGTGTATGCCGGTGTTGTGGTGTATGCCGGTGTTGTGGTGTATGCCAGTGTTGTGGTGTATGCCGGTGTTGTGGTGTATGCCGGTGTTGTGGTGTATGCCGGTGTTGTGGTGTATGCCGGTGTTGTGGTGTATGCCGGTGTTGTGTTGTATGCCGGTGTTGTGGTGTATGCCGGTGTTGTGGTGTATGTGTTGTGGTGTATGCCGGTGTTGTGGTGTATGCCGGTGTTGTGGTGTATGCCGGTGTTGTGGTGTATGCCGGTGTTGTGGTGTATGCCGGTGTTGTGGTGTATGCCGGTGTTGTGGTGTATGCCGGTGTTGTGTTGTATGCCGGTGTTGTGGTGTATGCCGGTGTTGTGGTGTATGCCAGTGTTGTGGTGTATGCCAGTGTTGTGGTGTATGCCGGTGTTGTGGTGTATGCCGGTGTTGTGGTGTATGCCGGTGTTGTGGTGTATGCCGGTGTTGTGGTGTATGCCGTTGTGGTGTATGCCGGTGTTGTGGTGTATGCCAGTGTTGTGGTGTATGCCGGTGTTGTGGTGTATGCCGGTGTTGTGGTGTATGCCGGTGTTGTGGTGTATGCCGGTGTTGTGGTGTATGCCGGTGTTGTGGTGTTGTGGTGTATGCCGGTGTTGTGGTGTATGCCGGTGTTGTGGTGTATGCCGGTGTTGTGGTGTAGGCCGGTGTTGTGGTGTATGCCAGTGTTGTGGTGTATGCCAGTGTTGTGGTGTATGCCAGTGTTGTGGTGTATGCCAGTGTTGTGGTGTATGCCGGTGTTGTGGTGTATGCCGGTGTTGTGGTGTATGCCGGTGTTGTGGTGTATGCCAGTGTTGTGGTGTATGCCGGTGTTGTGGTGTATGCCGTTGTGGTGTATGCCAGTGTTGTGGTGTATGCCGGTGTTGTGGTGTATGCCGGTGTTGTGGTGTATGCCAGTGTTGTGGTGTATGCCAGTGTTGTGGTGTATGCCGGTGTTGTGGTGTATGCCGGTGTTGTGGTGTATGCCAGTGTTGTGGTGTATGCCGGTGTTGTGTATGCCAGTGTTGTGGTGTATGCCGGTGTTGTGTTGTATGCCGGTGTTGTGGTGTATGCCTGCTGGATTGTATCCTAACTGTGTTCACTGGTTCATTACTGAAGTGATCAGTAGAGCACATAACTATTGTACTCTTGAATGGCATGAAGTGACTGTGACAAATAGGTTTAAGTGATGGTGTTTAATGACTTGGGTTGTTAGTAACGAGGGAGTTTTTTTTAGTTTAGTTCATTTATTATGCACCCCATACCCATCTTGTGGGCGGTAGTGGAAAGGGTTACAGAGGCACATAATGGGCTCAGGGACTGAACCCCACAATTCATTTAGCTAAGAACTGAGCTCGGTTTCACTCTCTCCACAAACAAGACGAAGGCATACTCCCATCACAAGCGGAGAGCAAATGAAGAACTGCAAATTAATGGTGTAACACTTGAATGGGTTGACCACTATCGGTACCTTGGCGTCACTGTCGGCTCTAACAAGGGAAAGAAAGAGGAGCTCAATCAACTCATAGGAACATGCAAAAGTCGACTCAGGGCACTGAAAGCTATGACCTGGAATGGACATGGAGCCTCTATTGCCGTGCTCAAAATGATGTACACAGCCTATGTGCGCTCCGTCATAGACTATGCCGCACCAGTACTGTGCACCTACTTCCTAAGCGATTTGAAAAGGCTTGAAAGCATTCAAAATGAAGCCATGACAATCATTTTTGGAGTCCCAAGAACTGCCAAAACGTCTAATCTACGAGAGGAGTTGTCCCTTCCCAGTGTTAAAAGCAGAATTCAGGAGCTGAATGCTAAGCTTGCAATTAGGATAGCCAGAGATCCCCATTACAATGATATTGCTAAGAAAAAACTGAGCTCTGTGCTACTTTCAGGGGGAAACAGGAGAAGCAAAAAATGGCATCACAGAGCAGTCTGCTACCTTGAAGAGCTTCACCTGCTTGAGCAAGCCCGTGAGCTCCTGCCTGTAGAGAGGTTACCTCCCTGGGAGGATGACTCATGCAAGATCATCATCAATGAAATGGCAATGAAAAAATCCAACATGATACCACAAGAAATGAGGCACAAGTATCTCGAGGACATTTATAAAGAAGCCGGAGATGAACTAGATCAAATCTACACTGACGGGTCATCTAATCCTATCAGTGGCAGGACTGGTGCAGCATACACGGTAATCAAGGATAATACCTTCCAACGCAGAAATGAAGAAAAAGCACGTATTGAGAACTATGCATCTTCAACGCAAGCAGAGCTAACTGCCATTGTTATGGCGTTAAGGTTTCTTGAACGGAACACTAATGGTGCAGTGATTTGCACCGATTCAAAAGCAGCACTGCAAAGCCTAAGTAAAAATCAGGCAGAAAATCTTGCAATAGTCGCTGAAATCAAGAGAGCTGTGAGAGTACTTACCAATCAGGGAAGAGTCATCAAGTTTCTGTGGATCCCCCTCCCATGTTGGAATATGTGGGAATGAACGAGCAGATGTGCTGGCTGCTGAAGGCGCTGAAGGAGACCATATTGAATACTTCATACCCAAGACTCGACTACAAATTAGAGGTATTATCAGGCAACATCACCGTGACAAGGTAACTGAGGAAAGGAGGATAGAAGCACAAACCAGTGAATCTGTACGATGGTACAACATGGTTGCAGCTGGCAATCCCAATCAGTATGGCCGAAGAGGACGACGACGAGGGAGAGAATCTGTAATAGCGAGAATCCATCTTGGATACAAATATCCATGGAGATTTGGAATGGAAACAACAGTTGATCAGCGAAGTTGCAGAATCTGTGGTGAGAGTGATGGACACCGCCTTGACCACTATCTACGTGAATGTGAACACCTGAGAGACATTAGGAATAACTGTAGAATAATAAACCCCACATTGTTTGAGTTAGGAAAACACTATTTGTCAAATATTGATACTGTTCTTAAAAGATTTCCCCATTTTGCACCCGCAAGATAACGTAAGCTTTTAAGGGTTGACAAATGTTAATCTTCTTGTTTGAGGAGCTGTTCACTTGAGACATTTAAGCAAGTCCCAGCTGTGTCTGGGTACAAGTGACAGGATGAACAACCCAGCGGGTTTTCTTCCTATTGGGGAGTGTTGTACATTCTGCTATGGCGGTATGTTCACTCACAAGATGAGTGGCGCTGCCCAATAAACTCGCCCCTCGGGGCAAAATTTAAATTTAATTTGAGGTCGATCTCGAACCCATTGTTGATGTGACGACTTATATTGAATTTTGTAACTAGCTCATCAAGATTGTAACGAGGGAGAGGGAGCAGGAGGTGTGCCCCTCATAACTCCGACCCCTGCCACCAGACATGGTGCCACCTGTGTCCACGATGGATGGAATGTATAAAGTGTAGACTTGAATCTAAACAAAGAAATAGTCTCCGTTTTGAACTATAACTGAGGTTGATAATATATTCCACACTTCTACAGCTCTCCTCCACGCGCGCGCACATTTCTGTTCAACATCAATATTTTGTCATGAAATATTCTGTGAGAGTACCTTAGCCTCTCCCTGTACACTTGTACACACTACCCAAGCCTTGCTCTCTCCCTGTACACTTGTACACACTACCCAAGCCTTGCTCTCTCCCTGTACACTTGTACACACTACCCAAGCCTTACCCTCCCTCTGTACACACTTGTACACACTACCCAAGCCTTACCCTCCCTCTGTACACACTTGTACACACTACCCAAGCCTTACCCTCCCTCTGTACACACTTGTACACACTGCCCAAGCCTTACCCTCCCTCTGTACACACTTGTACACACTGCCCAAGCCTTACCCTCCCTCTGTACACACTTGTACACAGTACAAAATGTTGCCCTCCCCCTGTACAGCTGTAGGCCCCTAGCCGCGCCTTGTGGTGCCTACTAGAGAGTTGTTGACATAGCTGTGATGGTTGTGTTGCACAGGTCCGCGGACGACGTGCTGATGAGCACCATCTGTGGGACGCCGGAGTACATCGCGCCAGAGATGGTGGCCAGACGCCTCTACACCAACGCCGTCGACCTGTGGGCCGTGGGCGTCATCACCTACATCCTCCTGCGCGGCGACTTTCCCTTCTTCGACAGGGAGAGAATACGCTTATACAAGAAGATTCTCAAGGGCAGGTACGCCCTGTCTGACGAGGTGAGTGTTGCTTTGGTGTGCTAGCTGCTGTGTTTGTGGGGGGTGTATGGGGGGGGGGCAGGCAGTGTCACCCCTTGGTGTAGGGAGGCAGGCAGTGTCACCCCTTGGTGTAGGGGGGCAGGCAGTGTCACCCCTTGGTGTAGGGGGGCAGGCAGTGTCACCCCTTGGTGTAGGGGGGGGGGCAGGCAGTGTCACCCCTTGGTGTAGGGGGGCAGGCAGTGTCACCCCTTGGTGTAGGGGGGCAGGCAGTGTCACCCCTTGGTGTAGGGGGGCAGGCAGTGTCACCCCCTTGGTGTAGGGGGGGCAGGCAGTGTCACCCCTTGGTGTAGGGGGGCAGGCAGTGTCACCCCTTGGTGTAGGGGGGCAGGCAGTGTCACCCCTTGGTGTAGGGGGGCAGGCAGTGTCACCCCTTGGTGTAGGGGGGCAGGCAGTGTCACCCCTTGGTGTAGGGGGGCAGGCAGTGTCACCCCCTTGGTGTAGGGGGGGCAGGCAGTGTCACCCCTTGGTGTAGGGGGGCAGGCAGTGTCACCCCCTTGGTGTAGGGGGGCAGGCAGTGTCACCCCTTGGTGTAGGGGGGCAGGCAGTGTCACCCCTTGGTGTAGGGGGGCAGGCAGTGTCACCCCTTGGTGTAGGGGGGCAGGCAGTGTCACCCCTTGGTGTAGGGAGGCAGGCAGTGTCACCCCTTGGTGTAGGGGGCAGGCAGTGTCCCCCCTTGGTGTAGGGGGGCAGGCAGTGTCACCCCTTGGTGTAGGGGGGCAGGCAGTGTCACCCCCTTGGTGTAGGGGGGGCAGGCAGTGTCACCCCCTTGGTGTAGGGGGCCAGGCAGTGTCACCCCTTGGTGTAGGGGGGCAGGCAGTGTCACCCCTTGGTGTAGGGGGCCAGGCAGTGTCACCCCTTGGTGTAGGGGGGCAGGCAGTGTCACCCCTTGGTGTAGGGGGGGCACGCAGTGTCACCCCTTGGTGTAGGGGGGCAGGCAGTGTCACCCCTTGGTGTAGGGGGGCAGGCAGTGTCACCCCTTGGTGTAGGGGGGCAGGCAGTGTCACCCCTTGGTGTATGGGGGGCAGGCAGTGTCACCCCTTGGTGTAGGGGGGCAGGCAGTGTCACCCCTTGGTGTAGGGGGGCAGGCAGTGTCACCCCTTGGTGTAGGGGGGGCAGGCAGTGTCACCCCTTGGTGTAGGGGGGGCAGGCAGTGTCACCCCTTGGTGTAGGGGGGGCAGGCAGTGTCACCCCTTGGTGTAGGGGGGCAGGCAGTGTCACCCCTTGGTGTAGGGGGGCAGGCAGTGTCACCCTTGGTGTAGGGGGGCAGGCAGTGTCACCCCTTGGTGTAGGGGGGGGCAGGCAGTGTCACCCCTTGGTGTAGGGGGGCAGGCAGTGTCACCCCTTGGTGTAGGGGGGGCAGGCAGTGTCACCCCTTGGTGTAGGGGGGCAGGCAGTGTCACCCCTTGGTGTAGGGGGGCAGGCAGTGTCACCCCTTGGTGTAGGGGGGCAGGCAGTGTCACCCCTTGGTGTAGGGGGGGCAGGCAGTGTCACCCCTTGGTGTAGGGGGGCAGGCAGTGTCACCCCTTGGTGTAGGGGGGGCCGGCAGGGTCACCCCTTGGTGTGGGGGGGCAGGCAGTGTCACCCCTTGGTGTAGGGGGGCAGGCAGTGTCACCCTTGGTGTAGGGGGGCAGGCAGTGTCACCCCTTGGTGTAGGGGGGGGCAGGCAGTGTCACCCCTTGGTGTAGGGGGGCAGGCAGTGTCACCCCTTGGTGTAGGGGGGGCAGGCAGTGTCACCCCTTGGTGTAGGGGGGCAGGCAGTGTCACCCCCTTGGTGTAGGGGGGGCAGGCAGTGTCACCCCTTGGTGTAGGGGGGGCAGGCAGTGTCACCCCTTGGTGTAGGGGGACAGGCAGTGTCACCCCTTGGTGTAGGGGGGCAGGCAGTGTCACCCCTTGGTGTAGGGAACTATCTTCTTCTTGAGTCTATCTTGAGATGATTTCGGGGCTTTAGTGTCCCCGCGGCCCGGTCCTCGACCAGGCCTCCACCCCCAGGAAGCAGCCCATGACAGCTGACTAACTCCCAGGTACCTATTTACTGCTAGGTAACAGGGGCATTCAGGGTGAAAGAAACTTTGCCCATTTGTTTCTGCCTCGTGCGGGAATAGAACCCGCGCCACAGAATTACGAGTCCTGCGCGCTATCCACCAGGCTACGAGGCCCCCCTTAAATCTCCGATCCGGGGACTGTGCTTACTCCAGTACTCTCCCCCCCCCTCCCCCCGTACCCTCATGTCGGACATAAAGGACAAACTATAGCACTGTATCAGTCTTTGCAGATAACATTAGGCATTAGGATTTATATGAGAGTAACAGTATAGAGGACACAACACGCCTCTACTCTGATCATCCATCCACTCCACTCAAGACCATCAGGTCTCTCAATGGCCACATAAAATAATAGAAGTTTAATGAAGATAATTTTCAGTTCCTGCAATATAGAAAATATGAAAATATAAACACGAAAACGCATATAGAACGCGGGCAGATCACACTACAGAACGAAAAAGGTTTAGGAGTAATCATTACAGTAGACCTTACTGTTAACAACACACTGAAGTAGTCTTGCAGTTGTCACAACTGCAAGAAATAATAACAGGTTGGATAACAAGAATATTTCAAACAAAAGATGGCACAGCAGTGATGGTAGTTTTCAAACACTAATGCTCTCTTGGGTGGAATATTGTTGCACGATAACAGTCCTATTCAGAGCTGTAGTAATTACTAACCAGGAGAAAGTGCATTAAACTGTTACTGCCCGAATCTGCTGTATAAAACATCTAAGCTTTTGGGATCACTAATATTGTTTAGATCTGTATTCCCTAGTTCCCAGACGGAAGAGATGCATAATAATTGATACTTGGGAAATATTAGAAGGACTGATTCCAAATCTGCATTCAGAAATAGCACCATATGAGACCAGGCGGCGTGGTAGGCTGTACAAAATAGCTTCTTTACAAAGCAGATGTGCAATAGGTACGCTGAGAGAGAACTCTTATCTACATAAGGGCCCAAGACTTCATAGCTCCCTTTAAACATGAGGCATAACTGGCCGACCTCTCGCAGTGATAAGAAACGAACCGGATTAACACTTCTAAAGGATACCTGATTAACTGTGCTGTGATTCACACACCAGGCTGCGAGCAGCTGCATGTAGGAGCCTGGTCGACTAGACCCCCGAACCAGGAGGCTTGGTCAGAGACCGAGCCGTAGGGACATTGAACCTGGGAACCAATGCAAGGTTCAACCCATTGACCGCACCACCACAAACTCACAATACCTCCCATTAAGCAACATTGTCTTTGTCTTAAATGTTTCGGGTGGTGGTGATGGGGGGGGGGTGGAAGGGGTGTTATGCAGTGTTGGAGGGTAGTGTGTTGTGGAGTGTTGGAGGGTAGTGTGTTGTGGAGTGCTTTGTCTCTGAGGTTACGGGTTGGGTTGTGTTAGGAATAAGGTCTTGTGTGCTTGTGTTTTGTATGTATTGTGTGTGTTTACCTGTCAATACTTGCCTCTCATTGTTTACGGGGCAGTCAAGTCTAGCTCCATATGCCCCACCTGCCCGCCTTGTTGTACCTGTTGCATCTGAATTTAAGTATTCTGAGTTTCAAATTCTTTGGTGACTCGGGTCTTTGTGGATGGAGAGGTCGTCTTCCACAACGCTTTCATTTACAGCATTCCACTTGTTAGCTGCCCATACAAGGTACGAGTATTTCCTTATGTTCCTTTCGCTCATTTGCGTTTCCAGCTTCCACCTATGTCCTCTTGTCCTGCTTTCTTTCAATCTGAAAAGGTTATCCTCTATTTTTATCCAACTTGTCTATGCCCCCTCAGTATCTTGTATGGTGTGATCATATCATCTCTGTTACTTCTAGCCAGGGTTGTGAGGTTTATTTCCGTTAGCATATCTGCGATGCTTAATCCTCCAAGGTCTGGTGTTGGAGGTGGTGGTGGAGAGGAGGAGAATGATGAAGCCCGGTGTTGGGGGAGTGAGGGAGGGCGGGCGGGGTGGCGGGGAGCAGAAGATGTGTTGCGAGACGGGCACTGGTGAGTATTGTGGTGGATGTGGCGGCGGTGTCCGAGCAGAGGCAGCATTGTCTCCCCGGGCGAGCGGGAGGTACTTGGGGCGGGCCTTCACGTCCGGCACTCGAAACCCTTCTCCATCACGGACCACTCCACCACACACTCACCCCAACACACCCGGCTCTACTCGCCTCTTCTTCCTTCACCACCTGCCTCTACTCTGCTACCTCTTAACTCTCCGCCTCCACAACAGTATAACAAGACCACACATCTTGCATTAAAAGAAGAGAAAGCCGTAGCTGGGAGTAGAGAGGACTCCAAGTCTATCCCAGCAGCACACATGATCAGAACATCAGCAGCAGCTCCCCCGCCAGACGGGCCCATGTTCGTGAAGAGCCAGTCTTGAGTACGCAACCCGAGCATGGAACCCGGGCCCATGTTCGTGAAGAGCCAGTCTTGAGTACGCAACCCGAGCATGGAACCCTCACCTGAAAAAACACAAAGTACAACTTTAGTTTCAAAGATATTTAGTAAGGGTCATTCCTAAGTAAGAGGGAAGACTGGGGGGAACCAGAGGGGACGCGGTATAGGCAGGTTGTAATATACACATAAAAGTTTCTCAGGGGATTTGACAAAGTAGACAAAGGAACATTGTTCAAAGCTAGAAACTGCGGGACTTGGGCACAGATGGAAACTACAGATATGCGAGTCGGAGAAATGCGAGAAAGACTTAAAGTTGTCAGTAAGTGGAATGTATTATACGAAGCAGCGGATAGAGTGTAAATATTGCATTGTAAATGTAAATATGGTAAGACAACTGTAGGAATGGTGTAGAGGCTACGGGCATAGCTTTGTGAACACCAAAGGCTTTGGAGGCTGACTCCATACACAGTTTCAAGTGTAGATATGATAGAGTCCAATAGGCTTAGGAACCTGTACACCTGTTGA